GCTTTACCTCAGTGAAAGTAGTGCAAAATGAAGAGTTTTAAGACTAATATCTGCAGTGTATGTTAAACTTTACTGTCTAAGCATCTCAGAATGCTGAAAAAGGTTTAGTGGTTTTTGACTAGAACACATCTAAACATTGTGTTTATCTGATTCAACAATGAGGCAGATGGAAGACATTGGACAGAGACCAACTGATCTGTGTGGAGCTCCATGTTTCAGCATGGCGGTGGACGGAAGCACAGATGTGACTGATCAACATCAGTCACATCTGTGCTGATGTGTTTGATGAAGTTTCCAAAAGAAGACTTTTCATTACAAAGATATTGCAAAAAATAAAAAATAAAAATAAAGACCTCATCATGTCAAAAAAGACCCATTTACACATCGGAGGGTTAAGAGGATCCTCCTGACCCACAGTTCAAAATAGATCAAGCAGATAGAGCCAGTTTCTAACTGTGACTGATGTGTCTAACTTCTGGAAAAAAAAAAAACTACTCTCTTTATAAAACCTATCAAAAATAATTTTAATTTATTTGTTCATGAGTATTCTCATAAGTAAAATCTCAGATTTTTACATGGTATGTATGAGGTGGAAAACAGAACACATGCTAAATTTTCATGTGTGCACATTTACTGACTTACATTTACAAATTTAGATATCCATACAGGCATTTTTAATTGATAGTAATCTTACCCCATACATAACTCCTTGTGTTTCCATAGCAACTAAAACAAACAAGAACCTGACACAGGTTGTTTGACATCATCATGTTGATGAGAACCTCTATGTTCTCATCAATGATGTCATAACAGTTCAAAGAGATACAAGAATACAAGAATTCTCAGTTTGCTTCTCAACTTGGTTGGAGGTAGATCGATTCCAGAGAGACGACTTCAAACTGATTTTACAAACCATTTTAACTGTTCACCAAGTCAAGAGGAATTTTGATATTGATGGGACCTTGGATTTCTTGTTACAAATGGAGTTGAAAAGTTGTTAGGATAGAGCATAAGAGGCAAAGACGTTTTAGTAGAGAGCTCTGAGGATGAGAGATCAAAATACTTTGGTTTGGACATTGAACCGTGAAGCCCAAAAGGACATGGAAGATTCCTCTAAGGATGAGAAAGTTACCGTCAAAACCACAACTATGGATTTAACAGTAAAGGCATCAGGAGACTTTGTTGTTTTTGAAAGTCTCAATGTTCCTCATGACCAAATGGACCTGGATGTGTTTGCTTGCTCACAGGTTGAGTGAGTTACTTTAACAACCACAGCTAACTCTTTATCAACACAGACATTACAAACTGTCTTTACCAGTCTTCCCAAAAACATAGAGGACCTGGATGTGAAACCAAGATGTGACAGCAAGGAAATTGTGACATATTTGAAGAAATCTCTGAGGATTCATCAGCAGAAGAAAACTTAGAAAATGAAATTCAAAATGACACAGATGATTTCAACAGAGTGGATATTAATCTTGAGCCAACCATGTACTTTTGCAAATTTTCCAACTCATTCTTCAAATGTTGGATGAATGCCACAACACATAGCATTATGAACTTCAGTATTACCAGAAGGTTTGTGGCTCAGTATCCCAAAGAGATATCTGGACTTTCTATAGAGACTCCATTGTTTGTGAGGTTTTTCTTTATAGCAATGCACCATCCAGGAAGATATTTCCCCCCAGATGAAGTCTTTGCAGTTCAGAATGAAATACTTGAAACACTGAAGATGAAGGATGTAGTACATCAGGACAAGCCAGGAGTCTTTTTGTTTTATATGTCACACTGTCTGACCCAATATGTCATTAACAGACTATGAGCTGTACACAGATGACTATTGTGAACAATGTCAGAAGTCTTCATGTGATATTTACCTACCAAAGGATCAAAGAGACACTACAACTACTCTTTTAAACTGTTATACAGTAAGTGTGGAATTGCAGAATGTTGTGACACCTGCAACTCCAACATAAAGACAGAAAACTTTAAATGTTTAAATAATTGGAATGTTTTATTTGTTGTTTTGATCATGTAAATTACATTTTTTGTTTCTTCTATAAAAGTTTATAAGAGTATAAAAGGTTTTAATCATAATTAACATTGAATTAACATGTTTTTCAATCTGGGAATTTATTATTTAGAAGGGTTTATGACGTTTTAAATTAAGGACAATATATTGCTTCAACGTGAATTCAATATTTCTGCCTAACCATATTTCAATGTTAATCCAATCACATTTTGCAAGCTGGGCTAGTATGATACCAGGAAGTGAGCGGACTGTTGGAACAGCGACATCTGCTGGCAACTGGCAGTTAATGAAGAAAGTGAACTATTTTAAGGTGCAATTTCTGGTTTTGTACACTGGTGATTACAAAATTGAAATTAGTTTTAGAAATTACAATGGTCACGAGTGTACAAGAAAATTCTAGGGGATCTTTACAGCCTTGCCCTCCATCCGATAGGGAAAATATCAAAATAACCAGGTCAAAACAAAAAAGCAGCAGCCGTGATCTGTACGTTAAACATGTTTAATTTCATTTTTTAACACTTATTCCAGGCTGAATCATTACCACAGTTTTGACATGTAAATTGTTAATATCAGTTAAAACCATCAGAAAATAAAAACACCAATAGAAAACACTGTCTCACATCTGCACACAGGTATATGAAGTCCTGTTGGCATCTCTCTCTCTCTCACACACACACACACACACATTCACACACACAAATTACTGTTTTTTTTACTTTATCCTACTGCACACAATGTCAGATACAACTCAGGATTCAGGAGAACAGACAACACTGAAATAGTCTTATTAAAGCATTGCAATACAGAGAATCATTCATCATTAATGGGGGATGTGTTCTCCTTATCCTCCAAAAAAAAACAAACAAAAAAAACTAGCTAGTCATTATTCATTTTTAAAGTCTTCTTTTAAAAGACAGAAGAAATAAAAAAAAAACATAAAGTGGTATGACTTTTTTTAAGAGTTTATAAATATGAAAGGCCACTCATTAGTGACTTGTCCCACAGATCTTAACATCATTTGCATTAATGGTGCAAGAAAACACGGTTAAGTCTTAGAACATAGGTAGCATCGCAACACGGACATTTTCTCTTCCTAGTAAAACCACACGTGTGAGATTGTCTCGCTACAACGAGAGGTGGCCATTGTTTAAGTTAAGCAGACAATATTAAAATCTTCTATACAAACGGTGGGTGAGAAGATGTGTCTATACTGTGCCACCTATAATGCAAATCAGTGAGGAGATAGTAGCGTTGCCCCAGCTGTTGATGTAAACAGGACTAGATGATGGAAACAGATTTTAAACAATGCCCCAACGCCAATAAGGCATGTACGAGAATCAGAATCACGCCACGCCGTGTGTGTGCAGATATGGACGTGACTCAGGCTATTCAGGCAGCCCAGCCACACCGATCGACCAACACTGAGAGAACATCAGCCAATCATGCTGCAGAGATGCCACACACATGGGTTCACAACTACAGTTTGTTATTTTACACTGTACAGAGCTTTAGAGCAGGTGGCAGTGTCCCATCACAGGCAGTGAGTTTTAATTCTTCATCTCATAGAGTCATCTCCCACAGAACTTGTGCTTGAGTGAAAAAAAAACAACAAAAAAACAACTTAAAAACATTATCCCAATGGTGCAAGGCAAGATTAACTGCTTAAAAAAACTCAAACAGGAAAGGTTCAGGAATATAAAAGAAAAAATTTAAAACTATTCTCGGTCACAGTATCACATCCTAAATAAACAAAACAAAAATCACCATGTGACAAGTTAATGATTTTAAGTAAAACTATTTTCTGTGACCCAATTACCATTCAGAGACAACAGAAATTTGTTTTATTAATATACGTTTTCCCACATTTCAACCACAAACCTCAATGTATTTTAGTGGAGCTTCATGTGGCAGACAGAAGGGACTGATGAATGAATACAGTTTTACTTTTTTTTTTTTTTGACAAATAACATAAAAGATGTTATTTGATGAATCCTCTTTACTCTGACATCCAGTGGAACCAAGAGCTTTCAGAAGTCTACTACTTGGTAAAAGGAGTCATTTAAACTCATTATGAATTTCCTGTGGAGTCCTCAGAGGTTTGGAAGAGATTAGTGAACAAACAGCATCATGGAAATGACAAGACATGTAGGAGACCATCCAAACCACAGGCAGAAAGTGCTATTCAATTAGAATTAAAGTCAATATTGTAGTCTAAATGCAAAGTAAAATATAAGAGAAAATCACTTCAAATCATCCTTTACTCAACATACTCACTTTAAATAAAGCGGTGGGGGTGTTGCGCTGTGGGGGACGCTTTTGTTCAGAAACCTCCAAAAGACTCGAGATTGAGGTGGACGTTCACTAAAGCATTATCGTGTGTTAAAGTGGTCCAGTCAAAGTCCAGATCAAGAGTCTGTGGTCAGACTTGCTGGAAGCTCTCCATCTTATCTGACTGAGATGGAGCCATTTTAGTTTTGAGCCTCCAGAAACTGGAAGAAGCAGGTCCTGATGGGACTGTAGCTGTCATGGCAACTAAAAGTGCTTTTTAATCAGGAAAAAAATATCCATCCGCTTCACAACTATCTGCTTTTTGTTGGTTTATCAAATAAAATTTCAGCAAAATAAATTGATGTTTGTGGTTATAATGGGGGAAGAGGAGAAACTTGAAGGTCTATGAATAACACTGAGGCACTGCATGTCCCTCAGCACAATCCTGAAGGGAAAAAGCAACATTTTTATTCTCCCTCTCCATCCTGACCTTCTGACAGCTTTACATAGCACCTAACAGGCTTTAACTTGCAAATAGTGTCCGCTGATTCCCTTTTCAAATATTTGTCCTATTCCCTTATCGCTGACAGCTACACCAAAAAAAAAAAAAAAAAACTCTCCTTACACGTTTCATTTTTCTGTTATGAGTCATCCTGAGGCAGTAGGAGATGAGAACAGTATCAGGCATCCTTTATTTTCACTAGTCAGTTTATTTGGCACAAGTTGAGCTTTTTTTTTTTTTTTTTTTAATCCGTGCTCCACAGCTTCCACTTCCCAGATAAACGTGTGTGTTGTACAACAGAACTCCTGGCTCAATTCAGAATGCATTAATCGGTGTGTGTGTGTGTGTGTGTGCTGTACATGCACGTAAACACGATGACGGTGGACACAACGATCCGAGCCTTAAAAGACGAGTCGAAAAGGGAATGTGAACGTGGCGGCGCAGCTCAGTTCCTACCTACTGTCACGGCGTTCTGAGTCACTGACTTATTTACACACATGAGCATTTAGTTGGTGTGTGTGTGTGCATGTGTTTGTGTAAATGGTACAGTGAAGAGTTACCACATAACCAGGAAGCATTAAACAGTCTACTCCTCATGAAATCAGAATAAAGCGCATGTTGCACTATTTACAGCTCTATACAATGTGTGTATTTGTGTGTGTGTGTGTGTCTGGCTGTGATTTGTTTCAATGTAAAAGCGTCTCGGAGCTGGGGGGATTGATCAGATACATCCCAGGAGGAGATATCAGAGGAACAGGAGGAGGAACGGCAGAGAGAGGCTGAGCTGGACGAGCCGCTCAAAGCCGGATCCACCTGGAGGACAAACGGGGAGCCGCTCAGACCCGATGTGTGGCTTCTGGCTTCATCTTAAAAACAGATTCGGTGGGATCCTGCTGAGCTCCGTCCTGAGAGCTGTTGGCTGTGAGAACATGGCTGAGGCAGTGCTGTGTTGAACTGGTCTCTAGTGGACTGAGGACTGAGGCCGGGCAGCGGGGTTAGGCCGACTGGAGGGATCCAGTTGGTCGTTGGGAACAGAGCGGCGGTTCTGCTCCGGTCGGTTGGTGGCTAGGTATTTCGCTCTCATACTGGAGGTGTACTGGATGGAGAGAGGGAGTACAAGGAGGAAGGAAGAGCAAGAGAGGAGGAGGATGAGAAGCATAGAGGAAAGTACAGGAACAAGACAAAGGAAACATGAGTGGAATAATTAAACCTCTTTTGTACTTCAGAGCATCAGCTGATAAATCCAGCTGAATCCAAACATTTACATGCTATATTACAACAAAATACTATTTTTTCCCCACTGACTATAAATCACACTGAACTTTGTCTGATTTAGATCTATCAGGATTACCAAAATTACTCATGTTTGTTATACTAATACTGAGAGAATCTTTTAGAACTCTCTTCAAAGTTAAAAGTTTACATGCACTATGCCATCAAGCAATTTGGTAAAGCTAAGAGAATGATATCAGGTCTTTGTAAGCTTTAGAAGAGCAGAATTCAATGGATGAAACCAGATATTTACACTCACCAAACAAAAAGACACAATCTGAAGTTAAATCAGACCAAACGTCCTGTTTTAGGTCAGTTAGAATGAGTAAAATGATTTCTGTTTTATAAATGCCAGAGAAGGCAAGAGGAGAGAGAGGAGGCAGGTAGAAAAACTTCTCTCAGAATCAGCAGCTGTCAGAGGGACCGGAGTGAGATGACGGTAAACTACTGTGAGAAGATTGTGTTTGGAGGGGTTAGGGTTGTCTCGTAAAAATGACCATGGAAATACATGCTGAAGTTTAGGAATGGAAAAAAAAAAATCTAAAAAGATTCTCTGATTCTGGTGATTTTTTATTTTTATTTTTTTGTCTAAAATGTAAAACTGTTTTAGTGAAAACATTTTAATTTATTTATTTTTTTACAGTTTATGTAAATATCTGGTGTCAATTACAGGTAGAAGGAGATAAACACACACATACAGGTCATTGGATCAGTCATTTGGACAGCCAGGATCTGACTACAGCAGCTGATTAGAGCTACATGAAGTTATTATGTGATTTCTTTGAAGTTAGTCTACTTCTGATGTAGTGGGTTAGCCTGGTATGCGTTAGTGGTTTCATGTGGGAGTCACAGTAAAAGGGGGTCTTGTGTTTCCACATCCCTGCGGAGGGCAGACGGTCAGCGCTGCCTGTGAAAGCAACGAGCTGCCGTCATTCAGCCGTTTGTGGAAGCTCTGGAGGTGGGAGCAAAGTGGCAGTGTGGCTGCTGGATGGTGAAAGGTGACGGGGGGAGGCACAGAAACAGCAGACACATACACCTCGACCAGAACATGTGCACACATAGACACAGTGTGGAACAGGAAGGAGGGGGAGAAAAGGAGCTGCAGAGGTTTGGGCTCCAGTGTTTCAGGGGGATGAGCTGCGTTCGGACAGGCGGCAGCGAGCGGAGAACGTGTCTGAACGGTTCGGCTTCAGCTGGCCACAGCATCCACACGCATGAAATCTACAGCTGATATAATGTGAGGGGGGTTTCACCAACAAACAAGCCCAGCAACTGTCAAAGTCACAACGACCAGTAGAGGAGCATCTCAATAAAGTAGAGTTTCATCCGAAAGGGAAATTCATGGATTCAGTTCAATTCCAATTAAACTCCGAACTCACTGATACGTTTCAAGCACTTATTTTCTTTGTGATGGTTTTAAGCTAGTCGAACTAAAAATTCAGTTTCTCAGAAAAGGAAAAATTACAAAAGACCAAGAAGAAAGAATTTTAATATCTATAGCTCTGTAAAAAATGAAGAGCCCACTGCACTGAAAACCTCCTGTTATTACACAAATATTAATTTCTGAACTCTTCCTCAGATCAAACATTAATATTGTTGTTTCTAAATGAATATGAACTGAACTTGTTTTCTTTGCATTATTTGAGGTCTGAAAGCACCACATCCTCTTTGTTATTTTGATCATTTCTACATTTTTGCTTGGAATTTCAGAGACATGTTGTCAGTAGTTCAGAGAGGAGAGGATTGTGAAAAGAAAAACCCACGGTGGGGTTTAGAAGAGGTGGACCAGGCTGGGACAGACCGAGGAGTCAGAGCCTCACCCGTGTGTGTCAGAACCGTTTTAAGGAGAAAAACGACCTGAGTGTTGCTCGGTGGTCCACACATCACACTGTCACTGAATACTGATGGAGCTGTGTTACCTGCTGGTGTTGCTCCAAAGTGTTTCATCACATCCAGAACCAGCACACACCTGGAGGATCTCATGTTTCTCTCTGCTGATGAGTTTTATGAAGATTTCATAACAAGCAAACATTTGAAGTATTTCAGTTTGTGCTTAATGAATCGATATAGTACGAGTTTCACTTTTTAAATTGTAGTTAGTGGAAAAATAGATTTTTTTTTTGATGATATTCAAATTTATTGAGATGCACCTGAAATTCATTTTAGCTAAGAGATCTGAGTATGTTTGCAGTTCTTCCACATAGGTGTTGCTGCTGAACGGCAAAAACGCACGAGTTCAGTCTGAAAAATGTTCACCACTATGTTAACCACTATACATCAGAAATAGAGGCCAACTCTGTGTCCAACATGACACTACAGGCAAATCAAAACAACAATTTCTCTTTCAATTCACATGCAAATGGTACAAAAAACCTCTTCTTTTTAAGCTCCAGTGTCCCAGGCTGCCAAAATGACTCATGAAGCTTGAACCATGGTCACTGTCTAGTTTGAGCACAGATGACACTTGCAGGGATGAAGGGAAAGAGGACTACCTTCCAATATCCACACACAGCATGTCAGACGACTGAGATGGGAAAAACTTCACACCCTTGTTATCGGCAGGACAAACAGAATCTCTGTGGGGTTTGCTTCGTGCTGTGGGTATTGGAATACAGTAGAAGGGAGCGTGTGATCTAGAAAGTGTGCACTTACAGAGGGTGGAGGGGACTCCCTGCCAATCAGGGGGGTGTTCTCACACCGGGGGTTCTGAAAGTTTGCGTTCTGGCTCCTGCATTGTGAAATAAGAGGTTACTTATTTAATGTGCTCACCCTGCTGCTGAGCTCCTGGTCTGTGTTTGACCTCTAATCTGCTCATCATAACTCTGATCTGTTACCTCAATGATAGAATAAACAGGGACCTTCAACTTGGCAATATATGACGTGCACAAAAAGTTAAATATTTCTTATCGTGTAACAAAAAATGTGAGGAGCCACAGGAAACTGATACATGCCTATATATTTAGATTAATTTATTATCAACAGTACTGTTTAAAATGTTTGGATTTGATCAATATGTATGTAAATACATAGTGCCTTGAGAAGGTATTATAGACTTTTTTACATTTTATCACATTACAAGAACAAGCTTTAATGTACGATTTTTATGCTCATCACAAAAGTCTGAGGATCATTTTTACTCAGCCCCCTTCAATCAGATGCCTCTAAATAAAATCCAGGAAAAACAACTGCATTAAAAGAACAGGTATCACAAAGAACTAAAGTTCACACCAGAAAGGTGCAGATTAAGTTACAAAAACAACATTCCAGTACCAAGCTCCAGTTCAATGGGACAACTACAAGTGAAACATCCCACAAATTCTTTTTTATAAGAGTGATGAGAAGAAAGTCCTGTCTCCAGTTTGTCACAAGCCTCATCCTTCACAGTAGACATGACAGAATGTGCTCTGGTCAAATGAGATTGAGGTTGTCCCTTTTGGCCTACAGGGAAAACGTCATGTAAGGTAGATAACTACCATCAACCCAAACACACTGAAGCACACGAGTTTCTTCAGCAGGGATTTAGTGGAAAATTAAGACGATTAAAACAGGAAGAAAACCTGTCACAGGTTCCAATAGGCATCACACTGGGTGAGGGATTCATCTATCAGCAGAACAACAGTCCTACATACAGTCAGAGTATTTCCATGTGTTAGAATAACCTGGTCTAAGTCCAGACCTAAAGCCAGTTGAATGTATGGCAACACTTGACAGATGACACCTGTATCCAGTCTGACTCAACTATTTTGCAAAGAAGAACAAGCAAAGCTCTGTCCATGTGGAGAGCTGATGGAGAGAGGATTTACATCTGTAAAATACAGTTCTGTAAAATATTGACTCTGGGTGGCAGGATGTTTTACTTTAGTAAACAATTAAAAAGCTCTCCATCACTTTTGTTTCTCTTCACACTTTTGTTCTCCTTTCATGTTGGCCTATCATTGAGAATCTCATTAAAATACATTTAAGATTAGTTTTAATGTGACAAAATGTAAAAGAGAAAAACAGTTTTGCAAAAGCACTAAAAAAGCCGTACTAGCTATTCCAGCACAGTTTCTGCTTGCAGTTAACATGACGTGCTTAATTAAATCAAAATGCAACAAGCAGCATCACAACATTAAAAGTTTTTTAAGAGTTGTTCTATTCTGAGCAAGGGAGTCAGTCCTGTGGCAACCACATGCATGCATGGTGACATTATAACTTATGTCACTGGGCCGCTAACATGTCTTTACTGTATTTATCTGATTTCTGAAAATACTGTGGGGATAAACAGGCAGGTCGGCTAAAAGAGGCAGCAGGAGTTTTCCTATCACTCCAACAGGCGATCTAATGAGGAGTTTTCTACGCTGACAGGTTGGTCACAGAGCACATGACTACACTAAATATGTCTAGGTTGTACTCTGGGCCACACAAGGCTAGCATCAGCTGCCTATAGCCTGCATGTGCATTGATTCTGGTAGCCTCTGGCTAGCGGCTGGTGCTAACTCACATGTATTCAGTGACGGGGGCATTGCTGACAGTGTGGGCTGTGGCAGGCAGGCTAGCTTCGCTGCCATAGCTGGAGCCACAGCTGTAGAGACTGGGCATGTGAACACGGTACAGGTTATCGTGCACGCCGCGAGAGGCACCCGACTCGTCTTCTCCGTCCTCGTCATCCATCCTTCAACCGGTCAGATTAAGAGCAGGGCATGAGAGGGCATGATGGGTAAGAAGGAAAGAAGGTAGAGGGGGAGGGAGATCCGAGAGAGACAACAGAGTATAAACAAGAGATTGAAGATGAGGTCAGAGGGAGAGGGGAGGATTATTGGAGGTCTCCAAAACTAAATGAAACACCCAGCCCAGGCCATGCCTCCAGCAGCTGAATGAGTAGAAACGGGTCATTGACAGCATTCATCTACAGACAACATCTACTGCAAATACAAAAGGTCTGAAACAGGAAGCTGCATTTTTCATTTTTGAACACTTTAATTCATGTGCACTGTATAAACACATTATCCTTAAAGATAGCCATGCAGTCATTGTTTTTATGCATCTATTATTGAGATAGATGTTTTGCTGCTGTTATTTAAAAGCAAATAAGTCTGTCAAAGCAGAATTAAGTCTCAAGTAGGGCTGGGCGATATTTCATACAGCATGGAGAGTTTTGTTCATCTTGAGACGTCAGAAATGCAATGAAAACCATCTGGTTTGATTGAAGATTTGAACTGAATATTTCCCTAAATACTTCAGTAACTTCCCCCCTACCCCATTTTTTCTTGGAGCATCTTGGAGACAACAAAGCAAAAAAAAAATAATTCCTCTAAAACTGAGTTACAAGTGTTCAGTCTTAAACCTGCAGTATGTAACTCTTATTTTAAAAAAATCAGCTTTTTGCATATTTGTTAAAACTGTCACTATGTTGCGACGGTACAGCATAAGACAATAAGACAGATAACACCTGGTTACAAAAAGAGATTTTCTGGAAGTTGTCCATGTTTTATTAACTGAATTAGGACTATTTTGCACAGCTGAATCCAAAAATAACATCCATTTTTCTCGGTCAGGTCAGGTTTTTATTCTAATGTCATTTAGAGAAATTTGATCTCCTGACGGAATTGATAACATTTTTTGACATCATCAGTTCATTTATGTTAATATTTCTCATCTAAAAAAGGTTTTAAGAGAGAAAAAAGTTGTGTATTAATTAATATTAATAGTGTATTAATTAAATGTCACAAACTTGGATTTCTGTAAATTGAATAATAAACATCAATAAGAGTAAATACATGTAAGTTGAACATTTCGTCTTCATTGTGTAAAATTCTCTGCTCTTTTCTGTCCTGAGGGAATCTCTCCTCCTGCTCTTCTCATTGATCAGATTCTCTGGAAACTGATCCAGATGTGAGAACAAGTCCTGCATTTTGATGCTCATGTTTCTCCATAGTTCTGAAGGTTGACCTGTTTGAGCAAAACCAATGTGATTTTTGGATTCAGCACATCAACATGACCCTAAAACCCCAGATAATTTCCAGTGCCTCTGCCTTCTCCCAGTGCTCCCAGTGCTGGGATACACAACTCAGTCAGAAACAACCAATCAGAGCCAGGGGGAGAGTTTTAGCACCGTCAGTTATGCTTGTGTGTGTACTGCTGTTTCAAACAGAAGCAATCAATAAAGGGGTCAAATAAGGGGAAATGACCTGCACTTGCACTTTATCAAGCCCAGAGGACCTGAAAGCACCTTAAAGTACATTCAGTCATTCACAGGTTAATGTTAATTGTTTAATAAAGTCCTCAGTCATATATTTTCTACATCTACTTCAGACATATAACCATGAATGTATACATAGCACAATGTTTCCACTCAAACTGCTGGTAAACAGTCAGTTTTGTGCTTGGCACCATCCAGCAGTATTTTTCAAGTTTTCCCACTTGCAAAAATTAACTTTCATGGCACATAGACAGACCTCAGCCGTGAGACAGAATCTAAGAAAAGTGGAAAAAAAATCAAATACAATTTCTAAGTCATTAATTATTAACTTATTTCATGAAATAAGTATTTGATCATCTACCAACTAGCAAGAAATCTGTCTCTCACAGAGCCCTGTCACTCTCCATCATGGCCTGTTTTAACTACACCTGTTTGAACTAAATGCCAGTATAAAAAACATCTTTCCACACTCTCAAACAATAAGACTTAAACCTCTGTAGACCGGCATTAGGGGAGTGGGCTACAGAAGGACAACAGGCAAATAGGTGTTATGGAACAGCCTTGTGTTGCTAGGCAACAACTTGCACTGAAGACAAGTCGTGTCTGGGTCTTCCAGCATGACAATGACCCCAAACATACAGCCAGAGAAACTACAAAGTACTTCAGTGTCCTGGAGTGGCTTAGACAGTCTACGTATTTGAACTCAACAGAAAGTCTGTGGAGGGAGTTGAAGCGCCATGTTGCCAAGTGAAAACTGACAGATCTGGAGAAGATCTGATCAAGAACTGTCTGACCTCTGCAACTGTAATCAAAGCTTTCAGTAACATATCAAACATTTATTTAATTCCATAATACACAAATTAATTATGTGCAAATCATACAGTGGAATCTGAACGATCGTCTAAATTAAAGACAATCTAACAAGCCTTCTGATTTTTAGCCTTTAGGCAAAGAAATGAGATAAAATATAAATTCAAATGTCCTACACTTTCACATTTGTATAGGAACCCTGAATATATCACTATAAATCCCTAAAGCATAGTAGCAATTTTTAGGCAATATCACCCAGCCCTGATAACAACAAAGCGTGATTATTTCCTAATTTGTTTATTTTTAATATGCTAAAAAAAATAATAAAGCAAAAGTATTGGGGTAAAAGGAGATAATGTGACTGAACTAAACAAACTATCTTCAGACATAAAAATGGTTAAATGTAAAACGACCAGCAACGGAACAAAATGAGGCTTTAAAAAAGTATGTGCTGATTTGGAAGTTGGATCTCTGGCTGCAGTGCTGGACACAACATGAAAGCACAAAATTTCACGCTGACATCAAAAACACTTTCTTGGTCTTTTTAGTACTTTTGTATCTGCTGTTAACATATCGACACCATTATGCCAGGTGATAAAGAGATAAAAAGAGAGGAAACTCTATTTAGATGAACCGATGCAGAAAATAAGGACAATGAGATATCTTGCCACCAGATGGCGGTATTTTTGCCTATCAATAAAATGGACAGTAGAGCCTGCTCACTGGTGCATTAATGAACCCAGTGAGGGTCAGATATGAACTTCCCCTTATTCCTGATGGGCCATATGCTTGGATTTGCTTTGATCCAAACCCAACAGAAAACCATAAAAACACCACTATGGCACAGCTCTGTTGTAATAGGAACAATCCATCCCTGCATTCAAAGCTTACATCTATTGCACCGATTGTAATGCTGAATTATTATTATTAGATCATATGACTCTTCAGTTATCTCAATATGCACCATCATTTGCTGAAGCCCGAAGCATTTCCAAATCAGGACAGGGGGAGAGAGTCAGGGAAGGAACAGAAGGAAGAAGTGGGGCAAAGGGGGGAAAAAATGTGGTGGCATCCTGATCAACACATGGGTGCTCCAAGTCAAAAGAAAATGAGAGTTGTGCAAACAGACAAACAAACCATCAGTCAAACTGGCAGCAATGAGGGCAGACAGTAAAATAAGAAACAACTGCATGGATGCAGAGACAGGCAGAGGGTGGTATGAAGAAGTTCAACAGTTAGGGAGGCAAATACACCCAAAAGCAATGACATGCATGGAGACTAAGGAGGTTCTGTTTAAGGCTTTTTGCGTTGTTTTCCATCAGGCATTAGAATTATTCACTGGAGCTGATAATGTGTGAATAATTAGCGAACAGGTTAGTCAAAAGACAAGGGTTTAGGGATGTGAAGAGTTGTATGTGGTCTGTATGCGGGTTTTCCATTTCATCATTTGCCTTGACTCAACTCTACTGTCCTACTGAAGACGGAATCTCTTCAGGGCGGATGTGATCAGCTGCTTATTTCCCAATACTTTCTCAAGTTGATAAAAAGTTTGGACTAAAGATTTTTGCAAAGAAAGGTTTTATGTTTGTCATCCTAGTTTACTCAGACGTTCTTTGCAGAATGAGCCAAGTCACCAATGGAAAAGTCTCATACCAGCATGAGAGGAACTTTGGAGGAGCATGTGTGTGTTACCTCTTCCTTGGCCAGGTATGTGGCACACTGCACACAATAGAAGAGAACATCAGAGCGGTGACAAAGGAGAACAGAACCAGGTAGATAAGACCTTCTACCCCATCATAGCACAGCCCAGTCAAAGCCTGGACGTAGTCCTTTAACAAAGAAGAGAGAAGAAACGTCAGCTGGGAAACGCAGATCGAATTTCTGTCATCAAACAAAGCAAACAGTGACTCACCATGTGTAGGCTGCGGCAGTCAACCAGGGCGGTCAGCTGGTGGAGACCAACCTCAGTGGAGTTGAGAACCGACTGGATTTGCTCCAGACTCTCCTGCACACAGAGCCAATGGTTTTCATACTGAGCAGACATCCTGCTTTATGTACATGTTCCAGAACTTCTTGAACTTTAGAAAATTGTTCATTTATAAACACAACTATAAACACACACATACTGCAGTGGGATTTTTAAGGATATAACAACAGGAAAGTGGAAAATATCTCTCTGTTGCTCCATTTTCTACCATTTTACATAGTAGAAAATGACAAGAGATTTTCACAACGTTTCCAAATAAAAATCTGTCTTTTCTATCCAAATCTAAAAAAAGTTTCATCTTGGTCTCATCTGACCAGAGCTCCTTCTTCGAAACACTCTTCCTTAAGTACCGGATTTGTGGAGAGCTTGAAAACTGGTGGCCCTTTAAACAATTCCTCCATCCTGAGTTGTGAATCCCTGCAGCTCCTCCAAAGCCACCACTGGCTTCTGGACTGTTTCTTTAAATACATTCCTCCTTTCATGGCTGGTAACTTCCCCTTAATGTTCTCCCTGTTCTGTCTTCTTGGTCTTAATGATGCTGTTAATTCGCTGATGTTCTCTAACAAATCTCTGAGGCCTCCAGGTCGCATCAGGCAATATAGCTGTACTAGATTTTATTTAGGGATATCAGAATCAGATGGGCTCTGAAAACAAATACACACCCAACCTTTCAGATAAAAGATTAAAAAAGGGGGGGAAAGCCCTCCTTTGTGTTGATCTATGACATAGAATCTATATGGTAGTCTGTGGTTGTAGTTTAAGGGATGGGAATACATTTCCAATCCACTACAAATGCACATGAGGGTAAAGCCTACAGATAGTTGCTCTGTAAGCAAATGCACCTTGGCAGTGGCATAATCACGTGTTGCTGATCTCAGTAGTTCTGCCACATCGTCCTGCATCTCCACCAAAGCTTTGTGACTCCCTGACAGCCTCTGCAAAACAAACAAGGAAGTTATTCAATCGGAAAGACGTCAGAGAAAACATGGTACTGTGAGACTGATGAGGAAAATCCAGAACACTGAGAGACATTTTTACCTGCTGGAACGGGTTCACTTTTCCAGAGCTGCACCTCAGGTAGTACTGCAGGATATCTGGCAAGGCATTCATAGATTCATGTTGGCATAAAAATATCCAATCCATTTGAATCATGCAGTTTTATAATAAAAAAGTTAAAGTCTGCATTTTTTAGAATTTTACATGGCCTGTTTGTTCCTGCTGAGGCATGTTTACAGTTATACCAAGATACAGTTGAGTGAGTGAGAGTCTTTACTTGTACTTTAGAGTTGATAAAGATGTTACTTTTATAATCATAATTAACAAAACTAGGCTTTATGATAAGATTTACAGAAATCCCCTTTAATATCAAAGTGAAAACATATTTCAATTAATAGAATATAAAAATAACATAATATTTTATTTCATTTTCATCTTGTCAAAATCATTTTTGACAAGATGGAAATGAAAATGTTTTTTTTTTTTAGGTAAATTACTTTGTCAAAAAAGCAAACTTTACTTTATTGTGATTGATTTGTAGATCACATAAAAGGCACCATATTTTCAAACAGGCACTAGATATGGGCAACATCTGAGTCCTACAGCAAGTAGATAGAGTGGAAACTACAGACAACAGGACTGTGTGGAAAGATGAAGCTGAACTAAGCATAAATATGATAAAAAGGGGAAGGAAGAAATCAGCTCAGATTGAAAAAAAAAAAAAAAACCTGCTCTGGATTCTCTGTGATGCCTTTGAGACGAGCAGAAGCAAGACAGGGTTTTTGATGCAACCCAAAATGTATTGAGAGGCAGTATGAGCTTTTAGATACCAGATTGTCAATCAAACCAAATCCCACTGGATGTGCTCAGCCACACACAAAGAAATGAACCACTTTCTAAAAATAGAAGCCATAGCAGCTTCAGCCATCAGAAGTCAAGCTGACATGTCTTCGCTTCTTTGTCAACCAAAATGGACAACAGTGTTCATAATGCATAAACTACCTGCTGGACATCAGCATGGTTGTATTGTTTCGGTGTACATACCTTGATTGATGACTGCATTGTCTTTGGTTACACTGGTTATGTAGGAATCTGGAGAGACGCAGAAGTCACTGGCCGACTGTGGGAGAGCCAAACACAAATCAGACATCCAGCAGTAGGAATTACATCACTGTAGAGACAGAGAGCTCAACTGTGTTGCCATAGTTAACTTACAGCAGCGACACCCAGCTCAAGACCCAGAGAACCCCAGCTGATTATCAGAGTCAAAACCCCAAGGAAGCACACTCTGGAGGACGGAAGAGAAAAGAAACTCTGTTTAACCGATAATAAACTCGATGGCCATGCCACATTATGGTTTATACATTTCAGAGAACAAGCAGGGTTTGAATCAGTCCAATCAGAGCAGCTTGGGGATGATGATGCAACAGACCGTACCCAATCAGAGTACCCCGAGAGTTGCGAATGAGCCCAAAGAGCACCAGCAGACAAATGAGAACATCGAACAGCAGCAGACCAAGGTAACCCAACCACCTACAAGAATACAAAAAGGAACACATTATTCCACAAAAAGCATTTCAAAACCTAAAATATGAGCTTCTCATTTACACTAATCAGGCAAAAAATATGACCTTTATATTCTCACTTTGTCTTACATACTTTGCTGGTAGTTCAAGGTACAGTGCGAAGAGTAAAGGAGACCAGGCACAACCCTGCTTTGTGTATATTTTGGAGGTAAAATTGTTCAACAGGCCAACACTGAGTTTGATTCTCAGTAGTATTATTTCATTGATCTTCTATGGTGTTAATAACCACATTGTGTACACCAAATCTCTATAAGACCTTATAAAGGAAATTTCATTTAAATGGATGCATTTTCAATATAGCAAGACAATTAATTTTTTTTACAAAAACAACTTGTTTTGGTCAGGCAGGTAAACTGCCAAATGAGCTGCTGGCGGTCCCATTGAGTTAAAAAAAATAAAACATAAAAAAAGTTCTTATCAGAATTGAGTGCAGGAAATGGGGAGAGATATCAGAGGCAGCAGAAGTCACCCTGCTCAATTTGTACAGAACATTTCTGAACATGTTTAATGTTTGTCATAGGTTTTCTTTAGTTGGTAAAAAGTAAGTCGTTCCTAAATGAGCCGACCACATCACTGAAATAAGATCGCAAACAAAGGAAGGAGGTCGTCATTTTATGCCTGATTAGGGTGTGTTTTATTATTAGCAATAAAGTAAATGAAGTTTTGTTGACATCGTATTTCTTATCTTAAATAAATACAAAGTATATGTCTGTGAAAGACAGGACTGGATTTCCAACTATTTTATTTACTGACCTGTAAAAGTCAAAGGCCTCGGTTTTTTGGGCTAAGTCTTCCAGAGAGATGTCCGTGTTGGACCAGAAGGGGACGTCCACCATCAGCCTCACCAGCTCGTCCAGCTGTCCTTGCAGCTTCTGGATGATGGCCACATAGTCCGTCTGATCCTGGAAGGTCGTCTCTAACTGGGCCAGGTTCTCCTCCACTGTCTGGTTTAAGGCTAGGGTATTATCTGACACCTAGAAACAAAAAAACATTCACTCAAGTGTACTTTTATTCATATTTGAGGGTAAAATATTTAGTGCTATTGTAGGCTCACCAGTTTCTCCACTCCAGAAACAGTGCGGTTGGCATGACGAAGGGAGTACGCCAGGCGACTGGCTCCATCACTTGACTCGCCGTTTCCATAGAATCCAACAGCGATTCCAGCACTGGAAGAAAAATGGGATCCAATACATGAATCTTTGACTCAATACAAACCTTTCATACCAATAGACAAACTTCTAAAAAACCAAAACTTCTAATTTTTGTTATAATTCACCTTGTGAGCAGCGTTACATCATCCTGAAAAACTGAAGGACCCGCTAAGTTGTCGGCTGCAGTTCATCTGCACCTTGCCTTGCCTCAACACCAGAAGGCAGCACTGAGTTCTCAGATTTCACCCTCATGCCTCAGGCAAACACAGTTCTACCAGAGAGGATTCATGTACACACATGCTCACTCACTCACACACACACACAGTCTACACAATAATTGGGTCACCAGACCACAAATAATGTGATCCCCCTGCAGGGCTCTGCCCACAGTCATTCAGCACACAGGCTACAATATTTGGGGCTCTTCACTCATAAAGACTTTATCCAACATCATAAACAATAGAAACATTTTTTTTCTATTTTTATGTTGTAGCTAATCCATTCCTCCACCATGCTGCCTCCTTTAACCCCAATATGCTTTCATGCCCCCTCCACCCCCCAGCACCCACTGAAAGCTTGTCTGTGTACCCTCTGACTCTGCCCTCCTTTTGTGTACTTTATGTACATGAGTCTACTGTACACTCTACTGACACTGCTGCTGTCTGCATGCAAGCACTAGACAGATTTGAAGAAATACATTACCATTGTTCAGACAATTCATTCAGGCCTATTACATATTTATTAGCTCCATTTTACATCTGTCTTTACAATGCACATATCCTCATGTATCTGTTTGCCCTCTGTGCTTTTTAAACACATGAGCTATTGGCAGAGTTTTCCCCAGT